AAAATTAACCGGATCATCACTGCTAACAATAAGTGCAAAAGAGACCAAGTCTTCAAAACTCAATCTACTCGGAGGCTTTATATTCGTCCGTCTCACCCTATCTCTGGCGAGACTATAATCCTGCAAATCATCCGTAGTGGAACCACTAGAAGTCGGTTGAGAAGTTTCTGGTTTCTCAACTGGAAACTGCTCGAAATCCACCATTGTCGTGTCTTTCTTCTGTTGCAACATGGATTGTTCATCAAAAACAACATCTCTACTGATCACAATTTTCTTCGCAACTGGATCCCAGAACTTGAATCCTTTGACACCTTTCTTGTAACCCAGAAAAATGCACTCCTTCGATTTTGCATCAAGTTTGGATCTCTCATCAGCAGGTACATGCACATAAGCAGGACAACCAAAAATCCGTAAGTTATCAAAACTAACATCATGACCAGTCCATACCTCTTCTGCAACTTTCCCAGCCAATAATGCCCTTGGCGATCTGTTGATAAGATAACACGCCATGTTAACAGCCTCAGCCCATAAGTGTTTGGGAAGCCCCGCATTCAACCGCAAACATCTGGCTCTTTCATTCAACGACCTGTTCATCCGTTCCGCAACACCATTCTGTTGTGGTGTCTTGCGCACTGTAAAATATCTCTTAATCCCGTGCTTCTTACAGAAGTGTAAGAACTGTGAATCTGTGTACTCCGTACCATTGTCAGACCGTAAACACTTGATTTTTCGTCCTGTTTGGTTTTCTACCTCAGCTTTCCACAGCTTGAACTTCTCAAAAACTTCAGATTTCTGTTTCAAAAAATACACCCAAACTTTTCGTGAAAAATCATCAATAAAAGTAACATAATACCTAGATCCACCCAAAGACGATGTCGTGTAAGGCCCCCATACATCAGAATGCACATAATCAAGAATCCCTTGAGTTGTGTGCCTCGCAGTCTTGAAACGGACTTTAGTCTGTTTACCAAGAACACAATACTTGCAAAAATTGAGCTTACAGCTTTTGACACCATGCAACAGATTTCTTTTGTGTAATTCTGTCATACCACGTTCACTAAGATGAGCAAGACGCATATGCCACAGTTTTGTAGTATCACACAGGACTCAACAGAATGAACTCCACCTGCAACGGTACTCCCTAACAATCTATAAATATTTCCTGCAGTCATCTTTCCTTTCATCACAGTCAAAGCACCTTTAACAATCCGAATGGTTTCCCTATCCTCATCAGCCTTAGGGATAAAACCATTCTTGTGCAAAGTGCCCAAAGAAATCAAATTCTTCTTCAAATCTGGATATGTCTAACACCACTCAACGTCCGAATAGAGCCATCATACATCTTAATTCTGACATCACCAATACCAACAATATTGCAACATCGATCATCATCCAAATAAACAGAACCAGAATTAACCGACCTGTATGTTGAAAACCATTCCCTATTTGGCGTGATGTGATAAGACATCCAGAATCAAGAATCCACGCATCCGTCAATTGAGTCGTTGAAATAGAAAGCATATCACCCTCACTGCAATCAGAATTGTCATCCTCGACCACGTTCACAGACTTGGATGAAACATCACGCTTCTCATCAGTCTGCTTTTTCAACTTCGGACAGTCTCGATTCATATGTCCCGCATCCTTGCACTTGTAACAGTGAATTATCTTCTTATCCCTAGATTTGGATCTGGAATTCCGCTTGCCAGACCCTGCCTTCTCTGGCTTCCGTCCACGGTCTCGATTACCCTTGACATATAAGCTATCAGCTTGAGAGTTTTCTCCTGCATTCTGCTTCCGCTGGTTGTGAGCCAACAAGGCTGCAGTAATCTCCTCAACGTTGATAGTCCCTTTCCCATATGTAAGAGTAGTCACCATGTGTTCGTAAGAGGGAGGAAACGAACACAACAAAATCATCGCTCTGTCTTCATCCTCAATTTTTACATCAAGCCGAGCCAAATCAGAAACGATTTGATTGAAGACATTCACGTGTTGCGCCAAATCATGATCGTCCTGCATCTTCAGCCCATACAGCCGCTGCTTTAGATACAGTTTTGTCGTTAAGGATTTGGACATAAACTGACTTTCTAACTTCCTCTAAATTTCGTCTGGAGACGATAGATGCATGACGTGATACATAACCTCGTCCGCCAAGCATAATTGTATGGTTCCTGCCGCTCGTTGTTGCAATTCTTCCCAATCTTCCTCCTCCATCGACGCCGGCTTTGTAGGTCGCAAAGCCTTCAGGATCCCCTGCTGCGCCAACAGATCCTTCACTCTCGTTTGCCATAATCCGAAGTTACCCAGACCATCGAATTTTGCGACTTCGAATTTTTCTCCTGACATCTGATACCAATTGTTGATAAATCGGGCAAAGTAAACGAAAGAACACAAGAATTTTAACGAGGTTCGGCAATGTGCTTCTGTCCTCTTTACCGGTATATTTATGAGCCATACCTTACAGTTATTCTTAGAAAATATAAAAATAGACCTAAAATAAGGTATGCACATGAAAGACTTCATAGACATAATATTAGATCACTTAATTTGCATAAAATTGTATTTGAAGGTGATAGACAAAGTGTTGATAATTGTCAAATGGATAGGAGAGCATTTCTCAAATTGTATCACCAATAACAAAGTCAAGGTGGGTTAAAAGAGAGTCGATCAATGTCTATAGAAGAAATTATTATTGTTTTCCTTCATATTATATCCCACTATATTAAGAATAGAGTTCTAAAACGTCAAACAGTAAGATCTGGTGAAACAATTAGTAGAGTTCTCCATGCAGTGTTAGCTTCAGTCTTGAAACTACATTCGATTCTTTTAGAAAACCATAACCGATACAAGATAATTCAACAGACGATAGATGGAAATGATTTAAAGTATTGTATTATAATTATGAAGTTTCTTTTAAGTTAATTAGTAATACTTAATACATAAATGGATAGTAATAATGTAATTTAACTTTATTTGATGAATATAGGGATGTTTGGGTGCTCTAGATGGAACGTATATTATGGTCAATGTAGCTTCAATCGATAAACCTAGATATAGAACAAGAAAAAATGAAATTACGACAAATGTACTCAATGTTTGCACACCAAACATGCAATTCATTTATGTTTTACCTGGGTGGGAAGGTTCTGCAGCTGATGGTAGAATACTCAGAGATGCCATTAGTAGAAGAAATGGTATAAATGTTTCACAAGGTAAATTATTAGGTCATTAATATATATATATATATATATATATATATATAAGGATGTAAAATTCTTACAAGTTTTGTATATTAATTCACTTTTTAAATTAAAATAATGCAGGGTGTTACTACTTATGTGATGCTGAATACACGAATGGAGAAGGATTTCTTGTACCATATAGAGGTCAAAGATACCACTTGAATGATTGGAGAGAATGACACCAACCTACCACCCCTCAAGAATATTTCAACATGAAACATTCTCAAGCTAGGAATTGCATTGAGAGATGTTTTGGCATATTGAAAGCGAGATGGGCAATTTTAAGAGAAAAATCATTTTATCTAGTGAAAACACAATGTAGACTCATTTCCGCTTATTGTCTTCTCCATAATTTCATAAGATCTGAGATGCCAATTGATCCTATTGAATCTAACTATACTGAAGATAGTAGGCATATTGAAGAGATTAATGAGGTAGAAATGATCAGACATTGTGAGCCAAGCAGTGCTTAGACTGAGTGGAGAGACAAATTAGCAGAAGATGTGTTTACTAGTTGGTTGGCGTCACATACTTTAGAATATATGTTATTTTATGTTATGTATGGATTTTCACCTTCTTTTTATCTAATGTTAGTGGTCATTACTTTCATGTATTTGACATCTTTATATTTTATGGCATAAACTTTATTAACAAACTAGAAACACATTGATCGAGTGGTGGTTTAACGTAACCCACATATCTAAATAGAATGAGACAACAAAAAACAAAATGAATAAAAGAGATCGTTAAAAAATTAGAATAAGCCTAAACTAGACATATGGTTAAAGCTACCTAGGATCAACATATGGTCTAAGATCGATTGTTTCTCTGAAATTGACATGACCATTCAATTTACATAAGCGACCGCAACCATCTTGACAAAAGCTCTTCAAATGAATAGTCATAATAGGCGGTGCCTTGTTTATGAGGACCCTCTTCGTAGCATTTCTCTTAACCTTCAGATTTTCGGAGTCTATCTCTTCATCATCACTTTCCCCAGATTCACAGTTTTCGGTCATATATGAATTTCTCTGCTGGAAGTTCACATTTCCAGTACAATTTTCAATATTGCAATGTTCACTAGGTCGGATACCCCCAGATTGTTATTGAGCATTAGATTTAGAGCAGATTGAAAATTTTGAATTCAACAGATTTGCGTCTTCCAGTACAAGTGAATTTAGCTCACTAGTTTGACCATTTTCAACTTTTATACCATTTTGATTCTCATTATTTAAAACTGAGTTATCACCAGAACTACTGATATTGCCATTACTAATGGTTCTAACTTCTTTAGGACATTGGAGTTCCTTATCTAAACTTGATGGTGCATATTGGCCTTGGGTCTTACTTCCATTGATTATATTTTATGGCATAAACTTTATTAAATTTTATGTATCTCTCTTCTATAAAATTCGAATTTTATTTGTTATGGACATTCATTACTTATGTATGGACTTTCACCTTCTATTTTATCTAATGATTATTATTGACGATGATGACATGTTTTATTTTATGTTATACATTTTTTATATACATCTTCTTAGATTGTTTCGAAGAGAAATATGTCAACATCAAATATGGAATCTCAAAGGGGGGAAACGGACATCTGGAAAGGTTAAGTCTTTAGTGACTAAAAGGACGTGGATTAGAGAGGATAAGGATGCACTTGTTGAATGCTTACACATTTTGGTTGAAGACCCACATTGGAAAACTGATAATGGAACATTTAGATCAGGGTATCTATCTCATCTTGAAAAGATGTTAAAAATCAAGCTTCCGACATCAAAAATTAGGGCCCATCCACATATTGAATATAGAGTGAAGCTACTCAAAAGACAATACAATGCTTTATCTAAAATATTGAACATTGGAAGCGGATTCGGTTGGAATGAAAAAGAAAAATGTTTAACTGCACCAAAGGATGTGTTTGATGATTATGTTAGAGTAAGTATTTTAATTGAATTTATCTTCTTCCTGTACTCTTTGTTTTCTACATAGGTAATTGTAAGATTTATTAAATATGCGATTTTATTATATTGTAGAGTCATCCAACTGTTGATAGATTGAGAAACAAGTCATTTCAATTCTTTGACGACTTTGTTCAAATATTTGGAAAAGAAAGAGCAACAGGAATAGCAGCTGAGACAGCAGCTGATGCAGTGGAACATATTGATGTTGAAGACAATGCATTTATAGATGCATTACTTGAAGAAGAGGGAGTAAGAGATTCTGAATCAAGAGAAGATGTTGGTGCTTCAACTTGCCAAACATCTGATGTTACTGCCTCTACCCCTACAATGAAAAAAGTAGCTAGCAAGAAAAGGTCTCGAAGTGATGATGGGTTAATCGAGCTTGTACAAGAGATAAGTAAGTTTGGCTCTGCATACTGAGAAACTGCCAAAGAAATTAAGGATATTACTACTTTATTAAAAAAGGAGGTAGAAGGAAATGATCGAAGAATGTCAATTTTCATAGAAATCATGAAAATTGAAGGCCTATCCAATGATGAAATGCTTACTGCAGGAGAGTATATTAGCAAATATGCGCACAAGGTAGATTTCTTCTTTTCTTTTCCAAAAGAATTCAAAAAAGATTATGTGATTAAGCAATTAGTTGAATGCCATCACTTTAGAACCATCCTTTTGACTGTGTTCCTTCTACAATTATGTGGATCTCTTTTTTGATTATGACTTTAGAATATGGTCCCAACTTTTTTGTGTAGCTTAGCCAGGTATATGTCAAGCTTTTGACTTGGAGAATTTTTTGTGTATGTAATATAGTCAACATATATGATTAAGTTTAGAATGCCATGGCTATTATCTTTTGTAAGTCTGAACATTGTACAAACTTTTGATGGTTAATATTATACTTCTTTTTGTTCTGTAAGCTAAACAAAGAATGTAAGCTTATAAAATTGTATTCGGTATGGATGAGTTCATATCTGCTATTCAGTATCTTGGATAGTCTTGTCAAAATTATCGTGGCTAATTTCTGTTAACAGTTGTTTGTAGTATATGGTTTGCAAGTAATGTGCTAGTTTTCGAAAAGCAATCTCATGATCGATAGCTTAGAACAATTCAGACATGGCTGAATTAGCAGCCACTTAAAATTGTTTTAGAATTCTCTTTAGATACATATAAGCTATTTCACTTGTCCTTTGTGTATGATCCAAAATAAATTAATGGTCTAGTATGTTCAAAGCTTGGCCTCTATCTGTTTTTGTATGTTCGGAGAGAAATTACAGGTTGGGAAACATGAATTATTGGGTTACTTGCTTTTCATAATCAGGAGTTAAGTACAAATCAGATTAGGATTGAGTATTAATAATTTTATTAAAATATTAGCAAAGATAATGATGAATGACGGTGGAATATGAGAATCTAACTCATATTTTTATGGTTTTCATATAAAAATCCAGGTTCATTTGGATTAAAATGAGAGAATATTATTATATTGTCTTTCAGTGGAACAACATGCCATGCTTCACTTTAAAAATAGAATAAAAAAATCAAATAGCTTCCACTTGGGGCATGTTGTCGAGAGCATTGCTCCATGCAATTCTAAGCTTTCTATAAAGTGAGTCAGTCGAGAAAACCACCTTAATATACTTCTAAACTTACTATATAATATATTACAAATTAAAGGAAAGTTAACCGGGAGTGGAAGAGAATAAAGAAATATAAAATTATAGACAATATGATTTTTAGTGTTATTTTTTCTTACTTATTTGAATTATGTTTTTGTAATATAAATTCATGAGATAAATAATAATGATAAGGTGTGCATAATTAAGTATAAATATAAAAGATAAATAAATAAATTATTGTATATAGAAGATATAATAAATATTATATCTTAGATAACAAAAATAATTTACATCTATTTATTATTATGAATATCTATGATAAATTATTGTATATAGAAGAATGTAAATCTTGTCGATTTAAAAATACAAGAAACCTCCCAGTGAATGTGTCACGTATGAACCGAAGGTAGTTTCCACAAAGTAAACATTTATTTAAATGTTGATGTAAAATTTTAATATATTTTTACATAAATTATGTAAATTTTAATATTAATTAAAATTAAAATAATACATGATATATTTAAATAATAAAGTAGTATATTATCGATGAATTTTTATATAAATAATTTTTATTTAAATATTTAGAATTTCACTTGTTAAAAAATATAGAACAAGGACAATTTGTAAAATATACATTTCAATAATCTTTTATTTCTTCAACCAAACACTGTAATCTTACATTCCTGCCAAACAAACCAAACACAATAATGTAACATTCCCAGTAATGTGTTAAGTAATGTTACATTCTGGTAATCTTATTCACGGATGTAATCTTATATTGCGTGAACCAAACACACCCTAACATCCATATATCCAGGATAGTTAACTTAATAACCTTATATATAATATATGTTAGTGTTTTTTTTTTTATATTTCTATCTTATTTTTAGAATCTCTCCTTCACGCCTCCTATTTCTTCCTTTTAAAATATGTATTTTACCCTCAAATTAAATTGATGAGTATGCATGCTTGTTTTTACTATTACTAAGAAAATAAATATTTTTTTTGAATTCATATATGATATATCTGTCTTGACTTATATACTAATTTCTTCTTGTGCTAAATACTATAGTAATTCCCCAACTGTTCATGTTCATATGGAATTTTCTTAAGAAATTTCTATGCTTAACACAAACTATCTTTAACATCAATGGAAAACAATCGACCTTCTTCAAACTCAAAAAAAGCTTTCATGGCAACAATATCATGTGCTGTTGTATTTTCCTTTGAGCCAATGGACTTGTGAAACTCTCCTTGATTTGTCCTTGATTTTCCGCGTCTTAAAAGTGTTGCATATTAATTTTTGAAGATGCCTATCTATGCAAGTAGTATTTATCTTATATGTCGAAAAGACATCTTTCGTCGTCAAATACATAAACTACTTTTGTATCATCATCATGCTCACAACATCCTCAAAGATCAATCTGTAGTACTCTCGAGACATGGAAAATCTTCACCTAATAGTTGGTGGCTATATATAGGGATGACTAAAAAAATATGAAATCAACAAGTTCCGATATGATTTGATTTTACAAGGTCGAGTCTTTTTTTAAAAAAAATTAAATTCGGGATGAGTTTTTTTTAAGAAAGAATTGAAACCAAGACAAAATTAATTATATATAATAAATGTTAAGGTTTTCTATTTTCTCTCTTAATTTTAGATTATCTCCCTCGCGCCTCCTATTTCTTCTTTAAACCAAATCCAAAAATTATGTCTTGGTCTTCCAAAAATTATGTCTTGGTCTTCCAAAATCGTCTCTCGTCCTCTTCGCCTTCTAAATAGGCAACGGATAATGGGAATATTTAAGAAAGGCCTTGTGAAGAAGTTGAGTGAACTCACAACCCTTTGTCTCATATAAGCTTGCCTTATGAAGAAGTTGAGTGAACTCACTACCCTGTCTCATATAAGCTTGTGTTGTCATGTACTTTCCTACTTACGACTCTAAATGCTTGAAATGGAAAAGAGAGCACAAATATGAGTGATTTTCCTTCACATTTTGCAAACACTTTCCACCAAGGATTTGGAATATGACTTGAGTCAAACTCTATTTTACTATTGTCCTCGCTCAGTCCCTTGAGTTGTTTATTGACATTAGCTAACCTTTGGTTCAAAAAAATCTTTGGGTTCATCATCCTTTGCTTCAAGAAATCTTGACCGGCATAGAGCAAAGCAATAGGATGATGAACTCGAAGAGTGTCATGAAGCAAAGTTTAGTTAATGCCGATGAACCGCTCAGGGGACTGCAAGAGGACAATCATAAAAAGGAGTTGACTCAAGTCATGTTTCAAAACCTTCGTGGGATAGGTTTGCAAACGTGGAGGAGGATATGAATGAGCGATAGATCGAGGGAAACTGGTGGGGCGATCGTCTCCTAAATATTTTAAATTCTCTTATAATTTAGGCATTTTCTACGCATCTTCTATTGATAATCTATTTTCTACTATAATTTTATAAATTAACATCTTTAACATAAAACAAGTGTCTATCCTAATTTGAATGACCTGGGTGGGTTGATTCAGTAGAACTCGGAGGACATAGACAATAGGCTTCACATGCTTATCAACGACTATGTGAACCTAAGGATTTTTACAATATATTCCACAATTTTCTCTTGTTTCTCACAGTCAGCAACCTCTTGAACTTAATAAAGTTAAATGAATTCCATGCAACTTTGTAATTGTATATGCAATTTGTATTATTTTTTCGGCTTTTTATTGTTGATCGATTCAACACCAATCCAATTTGATTTATATTATTAATTGTTAATAATACTTACATAATTTTGTTTATTTTGGATAATCATTGGTATAGTTATAAGAAACTTTCCTATAACCGTTGACAAATTTTCTATATGACTTTAGTATAGTTTTGATCATAATAATTATATTATAATTTGTTTATAAACTTATTGAAAGAGATCAATAGTCAAAGAGAACTTTAGTCTTCTTAGAAGATTCAAGAACATTAGTTTCAATGTCTGCTTGTTTGCGCCGATAGGGAAGATTTGTAATACCCAAAATTTTGGTTAGTGACCAAAATATAAATTTTGAAAGTTTAGTGGTCAAAGTATAAAGTTTAGGACCAAAAGGGTAATTCTCAAAAGTTTAGGGACCAAAAGTTTAGTTTTTAAAAGTTATGTATTTTGGCCCCGTAAATGAATAGTTCATCCCCAAGAATGACGTTTTGGTGGGAATCATATTCTTGACCCGAAAATTTGTATTGAAAGCTTGAAAGTGTTAAAATCCGATAAAATTATGTAAATCAGATTGAATAAAAATTTGAGAAAATTGGAATGGTATATATTTGAGAAAATTGGAATGGTATTAAATTAAGCTTAAAAAATATTATTTTCACATTTTAAAATGATGGAAAATAATATGGATCATTGCATTTGAGAATTTATTTCCATGTTCAATTTGGACCATTGGATTAAAATGGCAAGATTGAAATTTTTGAAAAATTGCATGGATAAAATGGTAAAGGGTATAATATTTTGTTCATTTTTGACTTTGGGAGGATGATAAGGGTTATGTGGCTTGGTATGAAGGTAATTATCAAGTTTTATTAATGGTAAAATTGTCATTTCCTAATTAAATGAATTTTTAATTCATTTAAGCTTAAACAAATAACAAATTAACATGAAATTAAGCTAAAATTTCATGTAAGCTTGTTCATCTTCTCCATCCAAGCCGTGGCCTCCAACCCTAGGTGAGACAAAGTTTTTTTTTTTCAAGCAATTTTCATTGGATTTTGGATTAAGACATGAAATAGAAAATTGTTCTATTCGAAAAATGTTATCATTT